GGAGTCTCACTGTGGTGCCCAAGCTAGTCTCAAACTCCTGGCCTCAAGCAATCCTCCCATTTTGATCTCCCAAAGCACTGGGATTACAGGTAGGAGCCACCACACTCGGCCACTAAACTGTTTTTTTCCTTTCTTGTTTTCTTTTATTTTGAGACAAGGTATCACTCTGTTGCCCAGGCTAGAGAACAGTGGCACAATCTCAGCTCACTTCAGCCTCGACTTCCCTGGTTCAAGCAATCCTCCCACTTCAGCTTCCCGAGCAGCTGGGACTGCAGGTGTCCGCCACCACACCTGACTAATTATTGTATTTTTTGTAGAGATGGGATCTTGCTGTGTTGCCCAGGCTGGTCTTGAACTCCTGAGCTCAAGCAATCCTCCCACCTCAGCCTCCCAAAGCACTGGGATTACAGGTGTGAGTCACCAAACTCAGCACTAAACTATTTCTTATAGTTCTCTAGTTTCCAGCAAAAATGTCTCACAAGAAGCATAAAAAACAAAACAAACAAACCAAAAACAACGCAGACCTTACTTGGATCATTATAACGGATTTGTTTGCTTCCAGACAGCAAATCTTTTAGGAATATTCCCTCCTTTAACCGCCTGGCCAGGGCATGGAGAATTTCCATGTGTAGGAATGTCAGAATCACACAGATTGAAGTACCAGCCTGAATTGAAAAAGCCTTACATAATTTGTTTAAACTAACACTCACCAACTAAATTGGACTAAAGCCAAAGGGAAGACAGGACACCTGCTAAATGGGGAGCCTCAGGGGCCAGGGAAAGGGGTTTGAGACCAGCCTTAGGACATAGTAAGATCCCCACCTCTACCAAGAAAAAGTAAAATACATACATAAATTTTATTTATTTATTTAGAGACAGAGTCTCACTCTGTTGCCCAGGCTGGAGTACATTAGTGCGTACTCCACATGTGGCCTAAAATACATAAATACATTTCAAAATAAGTAAATAAAGGCCAGGTGTGGTGGCTCATGCCTGTAATTCCAGTACTTTGGGAGGCTGAGGTGGGTGGCTCATCCGAGGTCGGGAGTTCGAGACTAGCCTGATCAACATGGTGAAATCCCATCTCTACTAAAAATACAAAATTAGCCGGGCATGGTGGCGCATGTCTGTAGTCCCAGCTACTCAGGAGGCTGAGGCAGGAGAATTGCTTGAACCCGGGAGGCAGAGGTTGCAGTGAGCCAAGATCGGGCCGTTGCACTCTAGCCTCGGTGACAGAGCAGAAACTCTATCTCAAAATGAATAAATAAAATAAAGTAAAATAAAATAAAATAACTAACTAAATAAAAAGGGTGAGTATGTTCAGGCGGGTGCCTGGGAGCAAGTGGAGGCTGATGAGTGCGTGGGGATGGAGGTGGAGCCTGTTTACCAAGGACACCTATGGCTTCATGTGCCCTCCCTGGGAGCCGTGAAGGGGGTTTCCCTGTTCCTCATTATGGTCATCACTACCATCCTTCTTTCTGTCTGTCTCTTTGGTTGTAAAATGAAGATAACAGATCTACATTGTTCCTCAATTGGATATTTTTAAGATGAATGGGTCATTATACCGGGTTTTCATGCATTTTGGTTTTTTGTTTTGTTTTGTTTTGTTTTGAGACAGAGTCTTACTCTGTCGCCCAGGCTGGAGTGCAGTGGTGCCATCTTGGCTCACTGCAAACTCCGCCTCCCGGATTCAAGCGATTCTCCTGCCTCAGCCTCCAAAGTAGCTAGGATTATAGATGCACACCACCACACTGGACTAATTTTTGTATTTTTGGTAGAGACGGAGTTTCACCATGTTGGCCAGGCTAGTGTTGAACTCCTGATCTCAGGTGATCCTCCCACCTCAGCTTCCCAAAGTGCTGGGATTATAGGCACAAGCAATCATGCCTAGCCTCATGCATTTTAAAATGAGATGTTCCAGGGACTAGAACTGCGCAGGGACCAAAGTAAAAATGAGTCCAGAGAAAGAGTTGGCTGAGAACATTACTGAGGAGAATTTACCCTGCTGCTGCAGGCGGCTAAGAACATAGACGACCACTGCACGGCAGTGTCTCCATGGACCAAAGTGGGAAAATGTCTGGCTTTGCTCTCTGCTGCCTTATCAATATGGAGCTGACAAAGGGCTGGGTTAGTTGAGGCAGGAACCACTGGGTGCCATGCACGTGCTAACAATCCACACAGGCCAGCAGGCACTGCCCCACTGTTCTGTCCATTGATCAAGAATATGACAGTCAGGGCCACCACCACTTTGTTCCTGCAATGCAGGGAAACTGCAAATCTATGAAACTTGAAAACTCTGCTCAGAGAATGTGCTTAGGGAAATTGCATTCCTCCCAGACACAGCAGTCTTGCTGTCTACTTCCCACACAGGAATGGCAGATCAAGTATTTAGAAGGGGCTGCTCTCTGTCTGGGATTCTCCAAGGAGCTGTTGGAATAGTAAATGCCCTTTTGACTGGCTAGACTGTTTCAACTGAATCCCAGTCAAAAATGGAAAAGCAGTTGCCTTCTCTCCCTTCTCCATCTCTCTCTCACCTTCAGTCGAGCCTTCCAGTCGTTGTCAGAGCAGAACTGCCCTGGGGTTCAACACTGGTGGAGAAGGCAGCTGCCCAGTTTTGAGGAGGGCAAAATCTCTCTGCCCCCAGTCCCTAACTCACATCCCCATCAAATGTTGGGAGTTCCACCATTAGAGATGCAGCTGGGGCTGGGCGCAGTGGCTCACGCCAGCACGTAATCCCCGCATTTTAAGAGGCTGAGGCGGGTGGATCACCTGAAGTCAGGAGTTCAAGACCAGCCCAGCCAATATGGCAAAACCCCATCTCTACCAAGAATACAAAAATTATCTGGGCGTGGTGGCACGTGCCTGTAATCCCAGCTACCTGGGAGGCTGAGGCAGGAGAATTGCGTGAACCTGGGAGGCGGAGGTTGCAGTGAGCTGAGACCGTGCCGCTGCACTCCAGCCTGGGTGAAAGAGTGAGACTCTGTTTCAAAAAAAAAAAAAAAAAAAAAAAAAAAGAGCGATACAGTTGGGCTCGATGCAGTGGCCCACATTTACAATTCCAGCACTTTGGGAGGCCAAGGCAGAAGGATAGATTGAGCCCAGCAGTTCCAGACCAACCTGGGCAACATAAGGAGATCCCACCAAAAATAAAAATAAAAAAAGCTGGGCATGGTGGTGCATGCCTATGGTCCCAGCTAATCAGGAGACTGAGGCAGGAGGATTGCTTGAGCCCAGGAGGCTGAGGCTGCTGTGAGCTGTGATTGTACCTCTGCAGTCCAGCCTGGGCTACAGCATGAGACACTGTCTCTAAAAAAAATAAAATAAATTTTAAAAAGTACAGTTGGCCCTTGAGCAACATGAGGGCTGAGGTGGCAACCTCTGTAGTGCTGACTCCCCAAAACCTTAACTACTGATAGCCTACTGTTGACCAGAAGCCTTATCTGTAACATGAACTGTCAATTAACCATGTTTAGTATAAATATTCTATACTATATTCATATGATAAAGTAAGCTGGAGAAAAGAAAAGGTTATTGAGAAAATCACGAAGAAGATAAAATGTATTTACTATTCCTGAAGTGAATGTGGATCATCATAAAGGTCTTTATCCTCATCATCCTCACACTGAGTAGGCTGAGGGGGAGGAGGAAGAAGAGGAGGGGTTGGTCTTGCTGCCCCAGCGATGGCAGAGGCAAAAGTGATGTAGGGGGTGGGAGGCAAGGCAAGAGAGGCAGGCGCACTTAGTGCAACTTTTATTGAAAAAAAATCTGCATGTAAGTGGACCCCTGCAATCCAAACTTGTGTTGTTCAAGGATCAACTGTATTTCTCTAGGGTTTCTTAGTGACACTGGAGAAGGTGCTTTAAAATGCCAGTATGGGCCGGGCACAGTGGCTTATGCCTGTAATGCCGGCACTTTGGGAGGCCAAGGCAGGTGGATCACCTGAGCTCAGGAGTTCGAGACCAGTCTGGTCAACATGATGAAACCCTGTCTCTACTAAAAATAAAAAAATTAGCTGGGCGCGATAGCACACATCTGTAATCCCAGCTACTCAGGAGGCTGAGGCAGGAGAATCACTTGAACCCGGGAGGCAGAGGTTGCAGTGAGCCAAGATTGCACCACTGCATTCCAACCTAGGTGACAGAATGAGACTCTGTCTCAAAAAAAAAAAAAAGAAGTTTTTAATTTTGATGTAGTTCAATTTATCTATATATTTTTTGTTGTCTGTGCTTTTGGTGCCATATCCAAGAGATCATTGCCAAATCCATTGTCATGAAGTGCTTTCTCTGTGTTTTCTTTTAAGAGTTTTATAGGCCAGGTACAGTGGCTCACAATTGTAATCCCAGCACTCTGGGAGGCTGAGGCGAGAGGATGGCCTGATCCCAGGAACTTAAGACAAACATGGGCAACATAGTGAGACCCCATCTCTTAAAAAAAAAAGGTAAGAAAGAAAAAGAAAAAAAAGAGTTTTATCATTTTAGGTCTTACATTTAGGTCTTGGATTCATTTAGAGTTGGTTTTTGTATATAGTGTAAGGGTCCAGGTTCATTCATTTGCATGTAGATATCCAGTTTTCCTAAAATCATTTGTTGAAAAAACTCCTTTCTCCACTGACTAGTCTTGGGACTCTAATTTAAAAACTATTGGACTAGGCCAGGCGTGGTGGCTCAAGCCTGTAATCCCAGCACTTTGGGAGGCCGAGGCGGGCGGATCACGAGGTCAGGAGATCGAGACCATCCTGGCTAACACCGTGAAACCCCGTCTCTACTAAAAAATACAAAAAACTAGCCGGGCGTGGTGGAGGGCGCCTGTAGTCCCAGCTACTCAGGAGGCTGAGGCAGAAGAATGGCGTGAACCTGGGGGCACGGAGCTTGCAGTGAGCCGAGATCATGCCACTGCACTCCAGCCTGGGGCACAGAGCAAGACTCCGTCTCAAAAAGAAAAACCCAAAAACTATTGGACTATATGTATGAGAGTTTATTTCTGGACCCTGTATTCTTTTAATTTTTTTAAATAATTTCTCACTTTTGCTTGTCATCCTTGCACAGGGGCATGCTAATCTTCTCTGTATCTTTCCAATTTTAGTATGTGTGCTGCCAAAATGGGCACTTCTGGGCTTTCTTTTCCATTCCATTATTCTATATGTCTATCTGTATGCCAATACTACACAGTTTGTTTGTGTTTTTTGAAACAACATCTCATTCTGTTGCCCAGGCTAGAATACAGTGGCACAATCTTGGCTCACTGCAGCCTCAACCTCCTGGGTTCAAATAATCCTTCCACCTCAGACTCCTGAGTAGCTGAAACTACAGGTGTGCGCCACCATGCCTGGCTAATTTTTGTATCTTTTGTAGATGGGGTTTTGCCATGTTGCCCAGGCTGGACTATACTGTTTTGATCACTGTGGGTTTGTAATAAATTTTAGAATTAGGAAGTATGAGACTTCCAACTTTATTTTTTATTTTTTATTTTTATTTTTTACCAGGTCTCACTCTGTCACTCAGGCTAGAGTGCAGTGGCACAATCTCGGCTCATTGCAACCTCCGCCTTTCAAGTGATTTCCCCTGCCTCAGCCTCCTGAGTAGCTGGGATTATAGGCACCCACCACCATGCCCGGCTAATTATTTTTTTTGTTTTTGGTAGAGATGAGATGTCTTTTGTTTTGTTTTGTTTTCTTTTCTTTTCCTTTCTTTCTTTCAACGGAGTCTTGCTCTGTCGTCCAGGCTGGAGTGCAGTGGCACAATCTCGGCTCACTGCAACCTCCGCCTCCTGGGTTCAAGCAATTCTCCTGCCTCAGCCTCCCGAGTAGCTGGGATTACAGGCATGCAACACTACGCCCTGCTAATCTTTATATTTTTAGTAGAGACAGGATTTCACCATGTTGGGCAGGCTGGTCTCATACTTGTGACCTCAGGTGATCCACCCACCTTGGCCTCCCAAAGTACTGCAATTACAGGCATGAGATTGTATGTGCAATTACATGCAATTACTCACACCGCAATTAAAGGTGTGAGCTACTGTGCCCGGCCTCAGAGTTGTTCATTTTCAAGATTGCTTTAGCTATTCAGGAACCCTGGTGTCTGAATTTTAGAATGGGTTTTTCTATTTCTTCAAAAAATACCCTTGAGATTTGATAAAAATTGTATAAAATCTATAGACTGCTTTGGTTAATATCAACATCTTAGCAATATTACGTGTTTTAACCCACAAACACAGGATATCTTTCCATTTATTTGTGTCTTCTTTAATTTCTTTTGGCCATGTTTTGTAGTTTTCTTTTCCTTTTTCTTTCTTTCTTTTTTTTTTTTTTTTTTTGAGACTGGGTTTTGCTCTGTTGCCTAGGCTGCTGGAGTGCAGTGGTGTAATCATGGCTCACTATAGCCTTGACTTCCCAGGCTCAAGTGATCCTCCCACCTCAGTCCCCTGAGTAGCTGGGACTACAGGTGCAAACCACCATGCCTGGCTACTTTTTTTAATTTTTATTTTTGTAGAGACAGAGTCTTGCCAAATTGCCCAGGCTGGTTTTGAACTCCTGGGTTCAAGCAATGCACTTGCCTCAGCCTCCCAAAGTGCTGGGATTACAGGCATGAACCACTGTAACTGGCAGTAGTTTTTAGTGTGTCTTTTTTTACCTCCTTGGCTGAGTTATTCTTCAATATTTTTTTGATGTTATCGTTAATGGAATTATTTTCTTAATTTCCTTTTGGATTATTCATTGTTAGTATATAAAAGTGCAACTGATTTTTGTATGTTGAGATTGTATCCTGCAGCTTTGCTTAATCCATTTTTTAGTTCTAACAGATGTTTTTGGTGGAATATTTGTGGTTTTCTACCTAAAAGATCATGTTGTCTGTGAACATAGATCATTTTATTTCTTCCTTTGCAATTTGATGCTTTTTTTTTGTCTCACTTAATTGATTGGCTAGGACTTTCAGTGCTATGTTAAATAAAAGTGGTGAAAGTGGGCATCCTTGTTTTGTTTCTGATCTTGGAGAAAAAGTTCTCAGTCTTTTAGCATTGAACATGATGTTAGTTGTGTGTGCTTCTTATATATGGCCTTTATTATGTTGAGGCAGTTTTCTTTTTTTCTTTTTTTTTGAGACGGGGTCTCACTGTGTTGCCCAGGCTGAACCCAAACTCCTGGGCTCAAGTGATTCGCTTGCCTCAGCTTCCCAAAGTGCTGGGATTACAGGTATGAGCCACCACACCCAGTCATGGTTTTCTTCTAACGTCATACATCTTTATTATCCTATATCACATTGTTGATTTTCATATGTTGAACCATCCTTGCATTCCAGGAATAAATCTTACTTAGTCATCATGTATAATATTTTACTTGTCCTATTGAACTCTATTTGCTCATATTTTGTTGAGAATTTCTATGTCAATATTCGCCAAGAATATTCGTCTGTAGTTTTCTTTTCTTGTAGTGTCTGTCTGACTTCCATATCAGGATAGCGCTGGCTTCATATAATGAATTTGGAAGTATTCTTTCCTCTTCAATTTTTTTGAAATTAATTGAAATGCATATAAATCTACTTTTAATAATGTCTGTGGTTAGCATTCAGTTTGCAAGATTCCTGAAAACTTAACAATGGGCTCTCCTGAGCTTGGATGAACTAGCTCCAGCACCATCCTGAAGGTGATCATGCTTGAGGAGCCCTAAAGTGTTCATTTTGTTGTTAACAAGATTCTGTACAGACAGAAGGAAAGAGACTACTTTTTTTATTTTTGTTTAAATTAAGGCAGGGTTTCACCATGTTGACGAGGCTGGTCTCAATCTCCTGATCTCATGTGATCCACCTGCCTTGGCCTCCCAAAGTGTCGGGATTACAGGCATGAGCCACTACACCCAGCCAGAAAAGGGACTACTTTTTAATTGAGAAAGGGAACTATTTCTTACTTGCTGAGAAGAAATGCTTTTCCTAATGAGTTCATATGCCTAACAAAAGGACATACATAGAAGTTTTTATTGAAACTGTACTTACATAATAGTGGTTAAAGGGTGGAAGCAACTCAACTATTCATCTGAAATAAAAGAGATAAGTAAATTGTGGTCTATTTATACAATGCAATACTAACCCATCCATAAAGTGAAAGAACTTTAGCTGCATGCGACAACATGGATAAACTTCATATGCATAATGTTGAGTGAAAAGAGTAAGATGCATACACAAAAATACATATCACTTGATTCCACTTATACAAAGCACAAGAATAGGTAAAACCAATTCATATTGTTAGAATCAAGATAGTGGTTACCTCTGGGGAGCTCTTGATTGGGAGAGAGCAATGAGCGAATCTTCCAGATGACTGGAAATGTTCTACATCTTGACATGAGAGGTGGTTATGTGAATGTGTACATATGTAAAATCTCATTGAGCTGTATGCTTAAGATACGTGCATGTTACTGAAAGTTTATTATATTCCAAAAAAAGCTAACAAAATGCCTTTCTTTATTTTTTAATTGTACTTTTAAATTTCAAGAGCCACAGGCTTTTTAAAAAATTGTTTATATTTAAATAAAAATTCCTTCGTATTTCTACTTAGACTGCATTACAGGCTTGTTTTAAGAGCCTAAAAAACAGAGGGGCTAAAAGAAAATTCCTTCCAGCCCCTTGACCCCTTCACTACTCTTTTTTCTAGTGTTCACAATTTAATGTCTTCCTTCCACTCATTCTTGATACCCATGAATGCTGGAACAAAAATGGTTCTGTCTTATTCAACCTTCAGAAAAAGAGCCGAAACCCAGCTCCTTCTCACCATCTCCACTGGTAAGACCAAAGTCCAAGCACGGTCCTCTCTTGTTGGGGTTAGTGCAGTCGCTTCCTGTTATGAACTGAATTATGTCCTCCCAAAATTCATATGCAGAAGCCCTAACCCACGGCGTGACTATATTTGGAGATAGTGCCTTTAAAGAAGTGAAAGGAGATGATAATTGTGGAGCCCTGATTCAATACGACTGTTGTCCTTAGAAAAGGGAGAGACACAGGGGTGCACACACAGAGGACAGGCCATGTGAGGACACAGCACAAAGGTGGCCGTGCACAAGCCAAGGGGAGAAGCCCTTGGAGAAACCAAACCAGCCAACACCTTGATCTGGGACTTCTAGTCTCAGGAACTATAAGAACACAAACGTCCGTTGCTGAAGCTGCCCAGGCTGCAGTATCTTGTTATGGCAGCCCTCGCAGATTAGTACAGCTCCCAACGGGTCTCTCTGTCCTGCCCTTGCCCACAGTAGTCTGTGGTAACACAGAAGCTGGGGAGCCCATTAAGATGTAATCAGGGCACGTCTGTCTTCTTTGTAAAACTGTTAGCTTCTCCTCCACCCAGCAGTAGCCCACAACCTGACGCTGGTCACAAGTCTTGTATCATTCGGCCTCTACTCCCTCTCTGACCTTGTCTCCTACAGTCTCGCCTCCTCGCCTGTGGCCTCTGCTCTTTCTTGGACATTTCAAGCATAGTCCTGTCTTAGGGCCCTTGGCATTGTCCTCCCGCCCCAAACAGGCCTCCTCCAGAGAGCTGCATGACTCGCTATCCACTCCTCCTCCTCCTTCAGGGTGATCCTCAGTGTCCTATTGTCAGTCAGGCCTCTTCCTTCTTTTCTTTTCTTTCCTTTCCTTTTTCTTTTCCTTTCTTTTCTTTTCTTTCTTTTCTTTTTTTTTTTTTTAGACAGAGTTTCATTCTTCTTGCCCAGGCTGGAGTGCAATGGCACGATCTCAGCTCACTGCAATGTCCACCTCCCAGATTCAAGCGATTCTCCTGCCTCAGCCTCCTGAGTAGCTGGGATTACAGGCATGTGCCACCATGCCCAGTTAATTTTGTATTTTCAGTAGAGACAGAGTTTCTGCATGTTGGTCAGGCTGGTCTCAAACTCCTGACCTCGTGATCTACCCGCCTTGGCCTCCCAAAGTGCTGGGATTACAGGCATGAACCATTGCGCCCGACCTCTTTTTCTTTTTCTTTTTTTTTTTTTCCGAGATGGAGTCTTGCTCTGTCACCCAGGCTGGAGTGCAGTGGCATAATCTTGGCTCACTGCAACCTCCGCCTCCCAGGTTCAAGCAATTCTCATGCCTCAGCTCCTCGAGTAGCTGGGATTACAGGCGCCC